ATAGATGATATATAAAAATGATGAAGTAACAGGCATGGCACCTTTTGTTTGTGTACAGCAAGGGTGGGTATGCTCTATGTTTCCAGGGGCATTTTTTTTAGTTTGCCCATTGGCCTATGGGCATATGGTTTGTGCAGACAGCTTGAGAATATAAGCAAGACCATCATGCAATACACAGGAACTAGGAAATTGAGTCAAGGAAGAGACCATAGAACATGACTTTGGAAAGAGCATCCTCCCCAGAAACCAAAAAGTTGATGACAAAAAGTGGGAAGCTTCAACTAAAAGACCATTGATTAAACTGTTCTACACTTAAGATTCAACTTTTTAAAAGTTGCATGTAGTGGAGGCCATGACTTGCTGCAAAATTTAGTGGCAAAATGTGGTGACAGTTCTAGAATTGTCACAGTAGAAAAGCAACCAATTTAAATGACTTTTTTTTTTTTTTTTTTTTTTTTTTGCAAAGGAGGAGATGGGGAAAAGTTTTGGGGTGCAAATAGGGGTGTGGGGAAGACACATGACCTGTAGCCCACACAATTCCCATCCTTGGTCTGTAGTTACAGTCTTTCATTTCAAGCCCACAGAATATCAAAAATGGTGCTCCACAAGGGGAAAAAACATATTTAAATACTTGATGGTACCAGATTTGCTCTTACATTTAAGCACTAAAATATTTATCTGGAGCACCAAATAAAAACTATCACAAAAGCAATAAAAGGTGAAAGTATGGGTTGTACTCATAGAATTACATTTTCTTTACTGATTTTTTAAAAAAAATTATTAATGTCAAGATTGCCACTGCTAGCCTCTTTCTACAGTCTGGCTATTTGTTCATAGCTCTTCTCTTGTTAATTTTCTTTTCTTTTGCTATCAAAAAGTAGCCGTGTTAGCCTGTTTTGGTCTCCTTGGATATTTCGCATGTCAGGGGCTGCAGTCTTTATACCTCTTACCAGAGAGTAAGCCCCATTGAATGTGTCTTAATTCTGAATAGACATGATAAATAGACTTTCACCAGAACTATAACTTTCCAGTACATAAATGTAAACAAATCAAGACTTGTTAGGTGTTAGCCTGTGATAACAGACAGAAGTGGGGAGAGCTGTGTTTATGGCTATGAACTGTATTATAACTGCATCTTTCTTATTTAGTAGATTTATGTTGTGCTGTTACATAACTCAGGGTGGCATATATAAGAATCCTAGGAGACCTTCTCCTTATCCATTTAAAATAATCAGACCTGATTAGCTCCACCAAGGCATAAGCATCATGTATCCTCAGACCATGCCTTGGGGCCAATTTTCCATTTGCCCTTTCTGGTGGCAGATGAGATCCCTCATTATTGCTTGATCAGCATTAAATTAAAGGTAATGTGTATTAAGAGTTTTCTAGAGATTTTTAGATAATAAAATCTTCATCAGATGGGGGTACAAACCAACTTCCAAGTAAGCCTTTTTAATCTCAAGGAAAATCAGTGTACTAATTATTGTACTACTCTTACAACATTTTTATGTTATCCTTATTTGATATAAAAACCATGCGCCTTAGACTTTAAACCCCTTGTTTTGCCTTTTTGCCCCTTTAAACAACATCAAAAAGCATATTTGAAAAGGATATAAAAAAGGTCAGGTCAGAGCCATTATTCATCCCACTGAAATTAATGGGCCAAGGATTTCTGGAAAGAATGAACAGTTGTCAATGGATATTACCGTGATTGTCTACAAGCCAATCAAATTACAGTACTTGAATTGTAAAATGAACTCTGTGCTGTTAATTTCTGCCAAGATATGGATTATAACCATGTTACTCAGCATAATAATAATAATAATAATAATAATAATAATAATAATAATAATAATAATAATAATAATAATTTTATTTATGCCCCTCCCCTCTGAGCACAATCGGGGCAGCTAACAAATGTTAAAAAAATATAGAGTACAATCAACCCCCATACCTTCCCCCTTAAAAAAGTATTAAATCAACTAAGAATTAAAACCATACAAATTAAAACAAACATTAACAATCGACAAACAACATCAAATACAAATAAGTCATTAAAGGAAAGACGGCGGTTACATGTTGATGAGGAGGCGGGCTAAGAAGAAGGATCCTAGAGGGCTCCCCTAAGAGGTATTCCTGAGGCTGGGATTTCTATCCTGGAAAGGCCTGCCGGAAGAGATCCATTGTAACAGCCTTTTTGAAGCTATCTAGAGATGTAAGTAGACGGATCTCATCCAGCAGGCCACTCCATAATCTGGCGGCGACCATAGAAAATGTCCTCAGGGAGGTAGCCGAGAGCCTAGCTTTTTGTGGCTGGATCAAATTCCTCCCAGAGGACCGGAGTGCATGGGGAGGATTGTAGGGGAGAAGGCGGTCCCGAAGATAGTTTGGACCCAAGCCATTTAGGGCTTTAAAGGTGATAACCAACACCTTGTACTGGGCCTGGAAACTAATAGGCAACCAGTGGAGGGACTTTAATATCGGGCTTCTTTTGGGGCATTAGATTGACAGCTATTCCTGTTTCCCGCCTATAATCATGATCAGTATCTGTGACATGTTCTGCAAAACCTTCACTAAAATGTAGCCCATCCAATGTGTTACCTTCCTTGTTTTCCCTGAAGCCTTATATAACCATCAGATGTGTAAATCCTTGTGGGAGGAAAATTGTGCATGAAATAATGCCATATTAGTGTATATTCCTTTTTACCAGTTCATTAAAATATACTTTAAAAAAAACAGCTTTGAGAGCAGCAAGGGACCCAGGTCCTGAGTATTGAGGTCTCTGGATTACATATTGCCCAGACAGTGTTGCATTACTTCATGAAGGTGAACAGGTTTCCTTTAAAGGTCTCCCAGGTTACCGTGCACATGTGTGCAAGCTCTACATGCTGCATTTACAAGCTCCATCCATGTATATTTAGAGAAGGTAGTTTCAACAGAGAAATGAAATTCTGTCTCTTTATGAACAAATCAAACGCCCAGACTTTGTGGAAATGCTCATCTGACAGCGAGACTCAGCATTTTCAGTGCTCTGCCAAGCAGGCTCGCTCTCTTCTTTTCCGCCACCCTCCCTTCGTTTGCTGCTCTGATAGATCAAAGGCTTTTCTGTCTTGGTTATATGCTGTGTGGCCACTGAGGACAAGAGATCAGGACTGTGAGCTGTGTTGGCTGCAAGCAAGGCTAAAGCTGGGATTGGGCTGCTTATGCGAGACCCTGGAGAATCCCGTAGGCCTCTGCTACAGGGTTGAAAATAATGTGTTTTGATTTTCTCCTTTTGTCTTCCAGCAGCCATTAGGGAATAAGCAGCTGGCATTCCAACAACAGCTACTGCAAATGCAGCAGCTGCAGCAGCAGCACCTGTTAAACCTCCAACGACAAGGGCTGGTCAGTTTACAGCCAGGACAAGGCACCGTTCCTCTGCAGACCCTTCCACAAGGTAATGCACATAAGCTTCCTTGCTCTTTAAGTGCAGTCAGGGGTAACTGTCCCCCCCCCCCCCCCCCCGGTAGCAATTAGCATAGACAGTTGGTTGTCTGTTAATTTAAAAAGCTGGATGTTTTCAGAGCACTTGGGGCCTAACATTTGGCATGCTTTTGGTTTTGCTATAAAACAGACATCAATAAAGCATTATTAGACCAGAATGTAATGTGCCTGATCCAGCTCCTGTTCAAGGTATGCCTTGGAGCTGTGTTGCTGATGTTAATGGGAAAGAGAGGGGACTTAATATTTCATTATTCATCTTCAGTGCAAAACACAGTAATTGCCTGGCACTAGACACTCCAGTGTGATGATGATGCTTCGTCTCTCAAGGAGGGGATGTGTACATAAAGTAGCTTTGCTTTATGTAGACATCTTATGCCCCTTTCCATCAGAGATGATCCTTAACAAAAGCAACAAAGTGGCTTTTATATGATTATTATATCTCAAACAAATAAGGGTCATTTGAACATTTTGAGGTCTATTCCTCTAAATGGTTTGGCCCAAGCTGATTGTATGTGGGAAGATTCTGGAGGGCAGGGGTCGTGGTGAAAGGAGTGCTTAGATGTTGCTTATGACCACAACACTGCCACCTTGTCCAAGCTTGTCTGGTTTTGTATCAGAATTGTTATTGTTGTTGTTGTTGTTGTGTGCTTTCAAATCGACCCTAAGGTGAACCTATTATAGTTTTTCTGGGGCTGATGGTGTGTGACTTGCCCAAGGTCACCCAGTAGGTTTCCATGGCAGAGTGGGGAATTGAACCCTGATCTTCAGAATTGTAATCCCACATTCAAACCACTACACCGCACTGCCCATGGGTAATTGGGATAGCAAATTAGAAGTAGTTTGGGTGCTCCCTTTAAGTCTGAAATCCTGGATGCATTTGACTTGATGATAAGAACAAAACCCACACTCATCCTTTGCAGAAAAAAAAATCACTACATGAAAATATAGAATCATAGAGTTGGAAGAGACCACAAGAGCCATCCAATCCAACCCCCCTGCCATGCAGGAACTCAAAATCAAAGCATCCCCAACAGATGGCCATCCAGTCTCTGTTTAAAGACCTCCAAAGAGAGTGTGTTCCACTGTCGAACAGCTCTCACTGTCAGGAGGTTCCTCCTAATGTTGAGGTGGAATCTCTTTTCCTGCAGCTTGCATCCATTGTTCCGGGTCCTGTTCTCTGGGGCAGCAGAAAACAAGCTAGCACTCTCCTCAAGATGACATCCCTTCAAATATTTATCATATCCCCTCTTAACCGTCTCTTCTCTAGGCTAAACATACCTAGTTTCCTAAGTCGTTCCCCATAGGGCATGGTTTCCAGACCCTTCACCATTTTAGTCGCCCTCCTCTGGACATGGCCCAGATTTTCAACATCCTTTTTGAATTGTGGTGCCCAGAACCGGACACAGTATTCCAGGTCCAAAGCAGAATACAGTGGCACTATTACTTCCCTTGATCTAGATACTATACTTCTATTAATGCAGCCTAAAACCGCATTGGCCTTTTTAGCTGCGGAATCAGTCTGTTGACTCATGTTCAACTTGTAGTCTACTAGAACTCCTAGATCCCTTTCACACACAGTCTCGTTAAGCCAGGTGTCCCCCATCTTATATCTATGCATTTCATGAACAACTAATTATGTAGTTGAATTATTTAGCAGTTTGAAATGCAATCTAACTGCTACTGTCTAATAAAATTGAATAATCTTACCTACCTGAAAGGCAGTGTGATCATCTAGGTAACAAAATAAAGACAAGAATGAATGCATCTTGCATTATAGACCTTGAATTCCAAATGATACTAAAGGTACTCATAGCATGTAATGTCAGACATGCATATAGAACAGAATAACCCAGTATCCTTTGGATTTGAGTAAATCTCAAACCTTTCAGGCTTTCTCCTAACAAGGAGTGAGGTTAGAGAACACTATTACCAGATTCCATGAATTCAGTGATCATTATTAGATAACTACAGTGTACATTGGAGTGAACAAAGTCAGTCCCACAGGCTGTAAGCAGCCCCAGGGCCTGCCTATTTTGTGGATTCCCTGTGCTCCTTCAATTTATTATATATATTTTTTAAAGAACTGACATTACATTTGCTGTGGAAATTCAGTGAAAAATCCCTGCATGTCTTATAGTCAGTGTGAAAAGGAACTGAACACACTATAATCAATATAATTGTCAATTTCATTCCTTTTCCTTTACATTCATTAATCAGTATCATAGTGCCCTATTGAAGTCAGTTTAAGAACATGTAAGATCAGTTTATATAGAAGTTAAATAATGAATCAAGTATGAGTGAGGAACTTTATTCACTAATTATCTGAGAAGATTTCTAATAAACTGAATAATATTTAATGAATAATTAATTGAGGTTCATTTTCAATCTACTTTCCATACAAGTAGCTAACTTTATGTGTTTTGATGTATTTTTAACTGTAAAAATCTTTAAACAAAACAAGAAAGGGCCACTGGTCAATTTGGAAATTGACCCCAGCCCCATGACAGTTGCCTGCCCCTGGTTTACACACTCAAGTCATCCCTTGGAGTAACATCTAAATCAGAAGAGAGTACGCTAATTGACTTTAATATTTCTGCTAAAAACTAGAGTAGTTATCACATCCACATATTTATAAATGTAAGAAATAACTGGAGCTGCAGTTTAAGCCCATGTATCCCCCCCCCCAGGTGATTGCTTTCTCAGGTTTACCATTCCTTTCTCAGGAATGGTATTTCTTTATTTTCTTACTTATTTGTACCCCACTTTTCTCTTATAACAAGGAATTAAGGTAGCTCATAAAAAGATTAATAACAAGTGTAGAGATAAAACCACAAAAGATATTATATTAAAGTACAGTGAAGCACATTATAAAATTAAAACACAGTTGAATTAATAGCACAACAATTAAAAAAGTACAACACACATCCATTAAATGCACCTTCCTCAGCAGTCAGCCAATTGCTGAAGGACTGCCTGAATAAAAAGCTCTTGCCTGCCCAAGGAAAGACAGCAGGGAAAGGTTAGTTATTATACCTCAGTTGTACTGTAACATGAAGTGGATAAAGTGTGCTCTGGACAGCTACCTGTTGGTGATGCTTTAGCTGGATTTCCTGCATTGAGCAGGACATTGGATTTGATGGCCTATGGACCCCTGATGACTCTATGATTAGAATCATAGAGTTGGAAGAAGACTATAAGAGAGATCCAGTCCAGCCCCCTGCTGTGTAGGAATACAAAATCAGAGCACTCCCCAACAGATGACTGTCCAGTTCCCATTTTTAAAAGCTTCCAAAGAAGGAGATTCACCTCATGCCAAAGCAGTTTATTCCACTGTTGAACAGTTCTTACCATCAGGAAGTTCTTCCTAATGCTTAGGTGGAATCTCTTTTCCTGTTGTCTGAATCCTGCTCTGTGTCCTAGTCTCTAGAGCAGCAGAAAACAAACTTGCTCCATCGTCAGTAAGACATGCCTTCAGATGTTTAAACGTGGCTATCTTGTCACCCCTTAAACCTCTCTTCCTGAAGCTAAACATAGCCAGCTCCCTAAGCCACTCCTCATAGGACATGGTTTCCAGACCTTTCACCATTTTAGTTGTTGTTGTCTATGACATGCTCCAGTGTGTCAATATATGCTGAACGATCAGAGCTATGTAATCCACAACAAACAAGATAATATTAAAACAACAATTCAGGGAAAACAGAATATAATGAAGAATTAGGAAAATATACACCTTGTCACCTGCTAATTATCAGTGCCCATCTTCTGCTAAATTAGAATTTTATCTATGTCATAATAATGAGGAGGAGGAGAGTTGACTGTAGTTAATTTGAAGGTTTAAAGCTAGTTTGTTTCAAATAAACCATGAATGAGATCAGTGGGTATGGAGGAACCAAGAGAGTATGGTTACTATAAACAGCATCTTCAGAGCCACAGCAAAAGAAGAAAGGAGAAGAATGCACAAGTCAATGTAGCATGTTCTCATGCTAAACTGTGGCTTGTCAGAGAGCAGAATTGGCCTCTTCCTCATGCATCTGTCAAGCTAGGATTGATGAGCACTGGAATTTATTCTGAACATTTGGCTTGTA